TATCTTTTGATCTCTCAATCATGATAAAGTTTTCCACATAAAACATCAATCTTTAATGAAATTATCATCTGTAGTACCCAATTACCAGATTTGATTTCAAGCATCATCGTTTAGGTACTTCAGTAACATGATCCGTTACTTCTCATTCTCTAATTTTAGCTTTAAAACATAAAATGTCACATCCCAAAAATTAAGCTTCTCTATCACATGCGCAAGTAAAATTTCTTCCCGAAATTACAAATTTCACTTTGTTGAATAAAATTTACTATCCAAGAAAGAAAGAATGGCCGGCAATAGTTATCGAAATAGTAGTGGATGGATAGCATTTCTTATAAATAGAAAGATAGCACAGAAAGTTTGTAAAATACTTGCTTAAGTACTTTCTGTCCGAATATTGCTTTACAGAATAAACATCCATTACACACATATTCATGATAGCTGAACGTAAGATAAATCTTCCCATTGAACAACTGTTCAAATATATGTTAATCAGTGTAATTAGCGAAATAAACTTTGCTTCGCTGTCTTTTTAACAAATAAAGCTTCTTTTATATCAATTTATTTTTCCCGCTATTGATACAAACATTCCAAAACTTTTACTTTACTTATCCAAAGGAAAGTAAGTTATACTGCGAATGATGATTCTGATTATTATCAACATATTACCATTACGATTACTATCACTTGAAATCAAAAAAATGTTTGAAAAAAAGGATCGAAAAGATATAGGACTGTGCAACAATTCTGAGAGAACCTAATAGTTTGAAAATAAATAAATCAAGATTATAACTTTTTTTTTCAGTCATTTCTGCTAGATCTAAGTTAAAGATAATGATTAGTGATATCACTACTACTACTAATAATAATAATAACAATAATAATATGTTAATAGTAGTTACTATTTTAAATGCTACCAACACTTCATTATGAGATCTGATGAGGACAATGACCGTACAAATTATCGTCAGTCAGTTCAAATATATAGAACAAACACTTTGTTGCTAGTCCTCGATAAATGATCGCAAACTGTGCAATGAAGGCTTTAAATGATACACCAATACAGAAGGAATAGGGTGAAAAGAGATTGTTATCATCGAGGAGAGACTCGGATGGAATTCGGGCCACATCGATCATTTTAGTGATCCAAATGGAAGGCTATCGTTATTACTACTGTTTTGCTATGAGCAAGATGCTCTCCGATTCTAATCTGCTAATCGAATTTAATTTTTGGAAGAGACATTAGAAATGCAAAAAAAGGAGTACTTTAAATCAAAAGAAGTGATACTCCCAAGAGATTTTTAACATAATATTTTCACTACTTTTAAGAACTCTTTTCGTCTATTCGAATATAAAAGTGAAAAATAGAACATTTCTATGAATGTTGCAAAATATCAGTTCTCACGAATAACCATGATAAATTCTTTTTTTGAAAAATTCCTTTCTAGAAAAATTCTCCTAGAAAAAGATTTCCATATTTAAAGAAAATTTATTAACCTCTTCTTCACAGCATGGAAATTATGAAAGCTTTTCCCTCTTTTTAAAGAAACATAGAAAAGAAATTACTTAGCATACGAAAGTATCGCTGCTGATATCAATATGACGAATACATTTATTTGTCTTTGACTAACTTCCCCCAATCAATTCTATTAGTAGCAAACTTTCCAGCTAGGACTTTTTTTAAGAAATCAGAATTTTGGAATATAATTTAGTAAACAAAAAGTAGATTTGAGATGATTACTGGTGCAAAAATTTCAATAATTTGATATTTGAACAAAAAGATTGTCAAATAAATCAAAATAAATATGCTAAATGAAAAATAATTCCATTTGTTAGTTTAAACATTCAATTTGACAATAATGATCATTTAATTTCTGTCAAATTGCTTACTTTAAAGTGCCACATTTAGCCAAATGATATACATTTTTTTCCGTTCTGCATACGTTTACCGTGGAATATAAAAACATTGAATGAAATAGCCCATATATGATAAGTCGATTCCGTTTCATTTTTATATATAGTATAATTCAAAAGTGACGAAGATTAAAAATTTAATAAATTGGAATTGCAGTGAATTGAATAATAGGTCTATTTTCGATTGACAAAAAACAGAAATCACATAATCAGACGAATATCATTATAATCTGTTCCTATCAAATCTAAATTATTTTAAATGAAATCATCAGTTTTCCTTCTAGCCCAGCAAATTTGAACTGGCTCACCAGTTGTGCAGTTATATAGATGAGCATCTTAAACATCATCAATAATTTCGTGAATGAACATCAAAATCTTTAACATAATATATATAAATATAATCTTTTGATTTAGAATATCAGGCGTTATATATTAAAAATTATGCCATTTCAATGTGTATTGATGATTATATTATTATAGTTTAAGAAAAGAGAAACTGGTTCCAGAACCAGTATGCTGCAGTCTTCTCTCTTCTTCACTTAAGCCAAAAATGTTTCGATTTATCAAAGAAATAGCGACATAAGCAAAACATATATCTGAGCTATCTTTATCACCTTATAAAAAACTATTCTCGACGAATTGATTTGTGAACACTTGAACAAGCGAATCGTAATCATTAATGAGCTGTTTCAGTTGAAAACATTATATAGTATGTGTTTTGGAATATTATTTAGCAACAATATTCTAATTGGTTAGTGAATCTATTATAGAATTAGTAATGGAAGTAATCACATATGCCAGCAATGTATTATGATCTATAGGTTTGACCATGAAAATTCTTGTTTCTATACCTAAAAGACTACATCCCAGAAGTATGAATTTTTTCATTCTCTCCAGCGAAAGTAACTAATATGTGTGATAATTCTGTGGATTCATTTCACACATTTACACTATGGATTAACTTAATACATTTACATTATTTCCTTATCCAAGCTTCTAAAAAAATTTACAAACTCAATTCTAACTTAAATATGCACTGGATTTCCCTAAGCGTTTCTGAAGCGATGTTAAAAATTGTTTCACTTGTTTTTTATGTCCAAAACTTAATTTGATTCAACTGTTTCATTTATTTCATATCTAACTTGACTTGGTTCATTTCTATAAACCAATATGATTCCTTTCCTAAGCTATATTTGATTCATTTGTTATAAGTTACAAAGCTCATTGGCCATTAATTAATCACTAACGATTACAAATATAAAATTAAAAACGATAATAGAAACAATATGGATTACTATTTTGTAGGTTTTGCAAGAAGAATTTGAAGAAAACAAATCAAATATTATTCAAGTTTAATAGCAAAATACTGCGATAACTTCGTGGTAATAAATTGAAACAGTAAACTAATCACTATCTTATCAATTGTCGGAAATCATTGATCTTGATCTGGTGACTAATTTTTGCACCTCTGATTTCCATATTGTTCTAATAAATATATCTGAAATTCATGTGAGTCCTCTACGTACATATTAATCCTATCGAAATAATTGTGGAAAAAACAACAAAAAGAAAAAACACTACCCAAAAAATGAAAAGTACAATCGAAACAGCAAAGCACCGAATTATTGTTGTATCGAATCTGAATTTTAGACATATTAATTCAAATTTCGCAATACGGTACCTTTGATACGTCACGAGGGTGGAAGAATTCAATGCGCTGTGATTTTTATGTTTTCGGCAATTACATTGGGAGTTGTCGCAATTTTTTGTTCTTATCACGCAACACGTACGTAATGGAAGCTTGATGTTATCAAGTATGATACTCTTAATATTACCACAAAAGCTCAATACGTAAATGTACATGTAGAAAAAAGAACGCTGAAATTTCCTTGAAACGTTTCTTTTTTCAAATATTTTTGTAGTTGATCAATAATATATCCATTCTTTGTTATTGTGGATGGAGCATTTTTTTGACTCTTTCGGATATTTCACGTTTCCTTTTGGGTAGATGTATGAAAAGACTTGTTAGTTACTTTTAGACATATATGAAATAGTTGTAACCCATTTCTCATTCACATTGAAATCCGTAGAATATTTGCAATTGAAGGGTATTTGCTAAACTGATCATATTTATCGAATGTTCAAAAATTGATGGAAAGACAACTGCGTATTATTCAGACGTGTCGACATGGTAGATAATTGCTTGACAACTAGTGTCAGGGAGAGAAAATGGCGGAAAAAGAACACCTTTTTACTTTGCTACAGATGTGACTTGTATTGTCTGTTGGCAGTTTTCCTAGATTGTAATGAATGTAGAGACTGAATTAGTTAGGATAAATCAATTTGACGTAGTTATGTTTAATGTGTATTAGTTAGAAGTCAATGATACCTAAGGCATCACTGAGAGAGGTATTTGTAATAATTTGAGCTTTCGAGATTTTTCTTTTTATGCTCTCTATACAAAATGATAGATAACAAAAATGTAAGCAATAGATGAAAGCGAGCACACCTCGAAGCGCCTTTCAAAATATAGAGTGGTAAACTGGATTTTCTGTTTTTTTGGAATTTTTTTTGATACGTGATTTAAAAGAAATATCACAAGATTTTTCCTAAATTTCAAGTATCAGGAGTTTACTTTTTCTACGCCATTTGAAAAGAAACAATAAACATCAAATATTACAGCTGTGTTTTGAACAGATGGTTTAAAATTTTGAAGTTTTTCGAATACCTTGCAGCAAAAATGAGGTGATCGAATTGCTTCTTGTTGAAAATTCATCATAGTCGTTTCAATTATGACGATGCTAGCGGGGAAAATATTTGAAGTGCACATTTCATCCTTTTCGCTTCTCCCTTCTCCCCTTTTCCTCCAATTGCTCTTATTGCGTTTGTATATTTATGTCCCGAACATATTTTTTCTTTTCAATCAGCTCGCAAAGATTTCCTGGAATTTAAATCAAATCTTATTTGCTAAAATTCTCTTTTCACTTTTAGTGATATTTATTTTAATTTGATTTCTGCCTGATCTCTTTTTCATTTCCCGGTGATATAATTTGATCAATTTGTGTTTCAATTTCTGTTATAAACAAATAATGCTTTATTACGTGATCATCTTGCTAAAGTAAGTTTATGTTCGTGATTCTACTTTTTGTTTTAGAATTAACTTATTTATTAAAAGATTACTGAATTACTTATGTAAGAGATTAAAAAGGCAGACCAGTTATACAGTGCAAAATGAAAGAATAATGGAGTAGTTAAAGTATGCTGCTTTGAATTATTGGGTAATGGATTCCTTGTAAACCTCGTGCCATTGATTCAATTTTCAGTCAAATCTACTGTGACGGTCCGATTTTGAAAGCAGTTCAGGATGCACATTTATATCCTGATTCGAAGCATTTTGTTGATATGCCTTTAAAATATGATCCAGGTATGAAATATTTCTACGAAACCTGATTATCTTACCAAAGAAATCAAACTTCCTGAGATATCAAAAAACTTGATGAAGTTCAATTAAGACTTCCTTTATTGCGAAGAATACAATAGTTCTTTGATTTCTAATAATCTTTGAAATTTGCAATGCGTTTCTTGAAATAAATCTCAGAGATTTTATAAAATAAAGAAAAATGAAATAGAGTCAGGAAATTAAAAAGGAGAATGCAGGAAATTGATGGATTCAGGACTCAAATGATGAGAAGTTTCGAAATTTTTGTGGTACCATTGTTTTAAAATAGGTTTGGTATATGCAATATTTTTTGAGTATTTTCACAGGTAAGTAGTTATCAGCTCTGTCGTGTAACAATTGTGCTATAGCAGTCATTTGTATCGACATTATGTTTGAAATTCACGCTCCCTGGTAGTGAATGTCTACTTTTTAATTTTTCGGGTCTTCTGTTATTTTTAAACAGACAAATTCCAAAATGTGGACAACATTCCATCTGGAGTTCGATATTTTGTTTCAGTGACAACTCTCAGAGATTTCAATGATATCGGTGAAAACTGTAAAAACAAAACGCTGTTGCAAAAATTCGTAAACGAACATTTTGATCCTCCTGGATTTGAACTAATCGAGTGGTACCCGGAGGACTGGGTAGCCTTCCCATCAAGTTTTCTCAAAATTGAGAATTATCACTGGAGAAGATGGGCATTACATTTGCACAGAATGTGGAGGGACCTTTGTAGAAGGGTAGGTTTTGATCTGAAGAAGCCTGGAAACTTCTGATAAGGGTGATGATAAAAAATTTTCGAAATGATAATTAAATCACTTTTTCTTGCTATCTTATTTTTAATAGTACTGGATCACTTCATGTACTTGTGCTCTAGTTTTCGATTGTTATTTCGCAAATATTTCAAAGAAAAAATTAAAGTCAAAATTAAACAGTCCAATAAGTCGTATGGTGTAGATCTTAAGACAAGAACTAATCCCATCTAGGATGAAAATCATAAAAACTTTGAATCTAGGATAAAAATCATAGCTTTAATTTAGACTACATTTCTATATAATTTAATTTAATTCAATTTCATTTTGATTTCAATTTCATGTAAGGTGAAAGAAGATGTTAAACAGCACCAGGAACTCTATTCTTTGCTTTACGTACCTCATCCTTTCATTATACCAGGTGGTCGTTTCCGTGAATTTTACTATTGGTGAGTTGTTTTTACGAAGTATTTTTTCTACTGAAATATTATCTATATCTTGAGGAAGGGTATGCTAAGAAATCCCCTTGAAACTTTGAAATTTTTTAACATATGTAATCGGACCACTCAGTGAAGTTTGGTGACGTATTCGGAGGCGAAACATGTTTTGTTACTTTTTTTCATTTTAGAAACAATAGTTATATTGAATGATTTAAGTTAACCAAGTAAATTACCTGCGCGGTCGTGAAAATATTATTTTCAGGGATTCTTTCTGGATAGTGAAAGGTTTGCTATTTTCGGAAATGTATGAAACAGCAAAAGGAATTGTTCGCAATTTAGCTTATATGGTTGATAAGTAAGCTATTTCTTTGATACATATTTTTGTTTTATAATATATATAATTAACTTCTTCAGCAAGCATTTAAATAGTGAATCAATGTCATTCAGCCATGGTTTCGTACCGAATGGTGGTCGTGTATATTATCTGGTCAGATCCCAACCACCATTACTTACTCCAATGGTTTATGAATGTTATTTAGCCACGGGTGATTTGGATTTTGTTCAAGAGGTTTGCATATTTCAACACTTTTATATGATTATATAGTCAATGTGTTTGATGCAACTTCCTGGCTTATCGATCTTTATGACAGTCTCTGAAAAATTAAGAAATCTATACTTCAGATCACAAGATTTTGATACAAAAAACTATGTCGCGAAGTAATTTTTCAGTAACAATGACTAAAAAGAAATTCAGTTTTTTAATGGAAGCCGAATAGCTGCGCCATCATACAAAGAACTCTATTCCTTCATCGACATAAATAATGATTTCCCTATAGTATTTATAGATTCTTCCAATGCTTGAGAAGGAGTATAATTTTTGGATGTTGCAACGTGCCCAATCATTCCACGATGAAGAACGTGGTGTAAATATTTCATTTTTCCAATATCGTGTAAGTATGAAAACACCACGCCCTGAATCTTACAGGGAAGATTTGGAGTTAGCGAAACATCTTCCTTCGATGGGTTAGTCTAAAACATTAGCATAAAAAGTACCGAGAGATTTTCGTAACCCTTTTGATTCTTTGATGGAATGTTCAATTATCCATTACATATGATATTCATTATTCGTTATAATAGCCGTGTTATCTTTCAATTCTAATCTCGTGCACTTTATTTCATTAGAATAAACGAATTAAGTTGTCGATTCGTACTTTTTTTGCAGCCGAAAGAGAATCAATGTGGTCGAACATAGCATCAGCAGCTGAAACAGGTTGGGATTTCAGTACCCGTTGGTTTGCACAAAGTGGTCCAGAAATGCACGATATGAAATCAATTCGTACTTGGTCTATTGTACCCGTTGATTTGAATGCTTTTATTTGCATCAATGCCAGAATTATGGCTTCGTTTTATGAAATTACTGGTATATTTTTCCCCTCTGCAATTTTTGATTATGTTGACTATCTTTTCTTGATAAACGATTTAATCCAAGATATTAAATCTAATCTCATGCCATTACGGTCTCCCAGTCATTAGTTTTTCGTTATTTTATGAAGGAGTATTTTTCTATGCATATATATGCTTAAGGAATTAGGTATATTAAATGATTAGTGGATTATCAAGAGAAGAAATTGCGGTTCAAAAAAAGGAAAATCTTGTGAAAATTACAGGTAGTAACTCATTTTAATTTACCTCTCCATCTCGATAACATTAAAAATATTGCAGATATTCTCTTCTTTTCCGATTTGTTATAGTATGTGCAGTGAACTAATTTGAGTGCACATCAGCAGTTTAAACTGATTTTGATTTTCAGGTAATTTCCCGAAAATGTTACTCTATCAATCGCGCTACGAAAACGCGAAATTATTGATGAAACTTATCCATTGGAATGAAACTGATGGGATTTGGTATGATTACGATCTGGAGAAAAAGGTTTCTATTGAAGTCATTTTTGTATGCAGTCAATTTTTGGCACGAAACATTTATTTTAAATGAGAAAATAATAGTAAGACATACCTACTGTACCTTGTTCGTACTATTTTTTGTAACGGAAAATTCACACGGAACAAATTATACATTTTAAATACAAAATTTAGGTTCACTCCAACATATATTATATTTCGAACGCTCTACCCTTGTATGCAAAGTGTTACGATGATGAGGATGAAATTATTCCACATAGAGCTTATGAATACTTGAAGGTATATTTTCCGGGTTTTTCTATGCTTTCTAATTAAGTTACTTTTTCATTCGAAATCGATCTTATACCATATTCTTCGAACCGCATTCCTGTTTCCGCCTAAAACTAACAGTGGTGTAAAATATGCTTTATAAACAATTTATGAAATCTTTAAGTTTTTGTTTCAAACTCTTATCATCACAAACCATGCAGAGAGAAGGTGTATTGAACTTCACCAAAGGGTTGCCTACTTCTTTGGCCATGAAAAGTGAACAGCAGTGGGATAAAGATAATGCGTGGCCGCCAATGGTACATATGGTCATCGAAGGTTTTCGTACCACCGGTGATCCTGTACTAATGAAGGTATCTATTATAATTTTAGGTGTAGACCATTCTTTCAAAACGTTTTCCAAAAATGTGTTCATTCTTGTTAATTTATTGTCTACTTGTTTGTGATATTTTCGCCTTCACTCTTTTTTTATGAATTGGAATATTTTTACAGGCAGCTGAAGCTATGGCAAGACAATGGTTAAGTGTAACATACAAATCTTTTATACGTACTCATTCAATGTTCGAAAAGTATAACGTCTCGGCGATTTCTGAAGAATGTAGTGCTGGTTCCGGTGGAGAATACGAAGTGCAGGTTTGTTAGAACCTCGAACTTTAAAAGTTCACTTCTATTTTAACTTGAATCAAGGCACAAAACTTTTCTTTAGTATGAACTATTATTCATGTATTTTTGATATATAACAGACACAGACTTAATCCATTGATTAAACATTATCAAAATTGAATATTTTAGAGATATACTTGTAATTTTGAATTTGGTTTCTTATTAGCAATTTAATAAATCATGCTGTCAGTTGCAATTTATGAAGTAGTTCCTTGGGATAAAATTTGACGAATACTAGGCAAATAAAAACTTTTAAATAAATTTTTCTAGACTGGATTTGGTTGGACAAATGGTGTCATACTGGATTTATTGGACAAATACGGACAAAAGATGACTTCAGCATCATCTTCCCGGACACGTCATTTGTTTTTAACTGTTTTTTTCTTCATTCTATTAGTATTTCTAACTAATTAAAGATTTTGCTTTATCTTCTTTAAAAGTATGAAAAGTAACTGGTAGCCTGTATTTAAACTGCTTGTATTAATTTCTGTTTAGACGAGCCCTCTGAATATGTATTTGTTTTCTATTGTACAGTCTCCCAAAAAGTTTTACATTTTCGTTGTCAGATGTCACGCTTTGAGCGCTGTTGTCATACAGACCTTTGAATATAATATTTGTATTTGTCTTTTCCTTTTTCTCTTTTCTCGTAATACATTCTTCATTTTCAAAATAGACTTACAGATAATGAGAATTTTGTTAATTTTAAAACTTTATTTTATCACTCAGGTGAATTTTAATTTTTGTATAATTTTTTAGTCAATCTTGGTTGTTCGCGGGTAACAATTTTTTCCGATGAAATGTGTATGTCTCGTAAATGATGCTTTTATATAATCAATTATTTTGTTTATTTATTTCGTTGGGTTCAATGTAAATAGAATGTTGATTATTCTTTATAATACTAATCATATTGTCCATCTCTGTGAAATATCGTTACGTTTATTTAGTTCTAGTAGATCATATTAGTATATGCCGAGGAATTTGACTAATTTTTTAACGAATTGAATCGAAAATAGTTTTTTCTGTCAGATCAGGCTGCTAAAATCTTGGCCTTCTCTATATATTAATCCATCACTCATAAATTGAGCATTATAATATAATAATAAGACGGTAAAAACAAACCATCGAAACTTTTCTTCTGAATTTGGCTGGATAAAAATTAATGCTGTTACTTTTTTCAGCTAGTTTTTTCAGACCCAATTTAGTGCTTTATTCAAGAAAAAGTTTTACTATGGGAAAAAAGCATCACTACTAGTTGGATAATTAATTAATGGAGATAAGGCTGTATTATATTGGAATTTAATTTTGCTATGCAAACAAATTATAATGATTACAGTCATTCCACTGTAAATCGTTCTTAGCGTTTAAAAGAACAATGCGGATAAAAGTTATGCTTATACCAATTTATATGAGCTGAGGCGGAATCGAATTAAATGTAATTACGAATTGTTTGTTCCATTTCTTGACTGGAAGAATACATCACAAGGGGGAAAGGACGAGGCATGTATTTCTCGGACTTTGTTTATTAACTGTCTAGTTTTGCTTCCTCTCTTTCACTTATCGCTTGCTTTTGCTAACTTTGTTTGATACGTATATTTCATATTAATTTAAGTTGCTGCATAATTTCTGGTGATTGTACATGTATTTTTCCTATAAATTTATTTAAATATTTTGCTGAAACTTTAAAAGGAATGTAACTATTTTAATGACACACATAGCTGCAATTTAAAGCTTGCTGGGAGAAACAAAAAAGCAATACAGGGAACGAAGAAATATAAAGTGACAAATGAACAAATAAATTTGAACTCTGAAATGTGAACTGAATTTCGAGTCCTTCAAATATAGCGCATCATAACAAGATTCAATAACATTCGCTAGATCTTTTCACAGTTCAATTGTAAGACTTACGGGACAATGATCGCTTCCCTTGACAGAATGCAAAATATTGCATTCTTTTACTTTATTCATAATCCGTTCACTGACCACAAAATAATCAAGCCTGAAAATTGCAAATTTTTGAAGGACTCTAAGTAAATCATTAGCTTCCTTTTACCATAGTTTGGGATTTATAACATAGCCAAGTTAGTAAAGATGACAGAATGCAGAAGTACTCGTATTTTTTGGGAAAAAATAAATCGAAATAAACAATGAAGGAAGATGTACCTCCAACCCACATTCTTTTCTCTTGCATTGTGCATGTTTGACCAAAAAGTATAAGCGCCTTCCTTTTCTGGATTCAATCTGCGGAAAACATCCACGAATCCTGTAGTGAAAAGTTTTAAACATGGAAATTAATTTGATTTTACTAATGATCGAAGAACTTATTTTTTTGTAGCTTACGGTGACTTTAACATTAAGATAATAAATACCGACATCGAGCAATCGAGTAAAGTCATTTCGTTCCTGATCTGTGAATCCAGCTGTCTTGTTACGATTGGTTTTCGGATTCGCCAAGTCTAAATGATAAATATTAATATAAATGAACAATATTCACTAACAATGTGAATTATTGGTGATATATGAAATCACCTACCAATTTCCTGATGTGCAACGTTTAGGTCGCCAACATATACAACAGGTTTAATTAAATCAAGTTTTTTAATAAAACTGAGGTAGTGGTCATCCCAAATTTTTCGCTTGTCGAGATTCACCAAACCACGTCCACTATTTGGAACATAGGCGTTAATAAGATAGTAACTATCATATTCAGCAATAATAATCCGTCCCTTACCATTCCCATCCAAACCAGATTTAGATTTGTCATCAAAAGTACATGTCACCTAAAAAAAGTAAAATAAAAAAATCAACAATAATAAGCGAGGTAACCATGTATTGTGAAATCTTTTTTCCTTAATTCTTGCAGAGTAAGCTGTAAAAATTTTTACCTTTATCGGCTCCTCTTTCGTAAGTAATAACACACCACCATGTCCTGATCTTTCCGAAGCATTTAAGAAACTATGATAGCCATCTTGCAATTCATTTGGAACTTCCACACATTTCGTTTCTTGCAAAGCAACAATATCCGGGTCCTCTTTAACCAAAGTTGAATGTCCACCCTTCTAAAGATGACCAAATCGAAAAGACAATTTTGAAAAAATTAGATAAGTTACAAACAAAAACATTTTTTGAAATGTCAACTGCGTTATTCAAAATAAACATTCAGTAATAGAAATTATGTATGGATTTCAAGCCTTAGTTCCGAAAATTAGCATTTAACTTTTAAAAGATAATATTGCAAGCAATAGATGAGAGTGAGTGCTTGCGCTATTTTTGGAAATTTTGATAAAGTAAAGTTAAATTGACCTTAATCCATGCCCTAAGACCAGCAACATTCCAGCTAATAATTTTGATTTCTTTACTCTTCTCGACTTTCCTCTTCTTTTTCTCTATTACGCGATCCTCATTTTTCAACTTTCCGCTTTCATCGTTCATATTTCTCTTATCATTGTTAGCATTTTTGGATGTTCCCTCCTTATCACCTTTTCTCTTCACTTTTCCATGAATCCCAGGCATTCTGTAAATAAGTGATGCATGCGGCAGTAACGTCTTGCCCGATGCGTTGACATAGACATGGCATCGTGGTATCAATAGGAAACGTAGAACTAGGAACATCCTAAATTTCAGAGTCAAACTTTAAAAATGGATCTGAGAAAAACGAAATACATTTCCCACGCTAGGCAAAATGCATATCCGCATGCATGTTCCCCTCCCCCCACCTCTTTCTGACATCATACATCTTAAAACCTTCCACGTTCTTCATCCTTTTAATCCCCCCAGAAATTTAACCACTTAGCGATCCGAATCTAAACCCGCACAGAACAAATACCACAATTATGTGTTTGATGCAGTCTCCGCTCTTCTCGATATCCGGTGGGTGGAGGGGTCTCTAGGTGTTACATCAAGTTCATTGATGTATTGCTGCTTTTCAAGATCTTTTGGTTGTTTGCATAGAAAGATGGTTGAGTTACCTCGTCAATATGGTTGTTTTGTGATGCGTTGGAACTTTCACGATTACCACATCGCTGGATACTAGTGAAAAAAAACTAGCCAGATTTTTAAGACTATTGTCTTGTTGTAAAATAGTTTTTAGTTCAAGTAAAGCTACAAAATGGTATACATTTTAGATGCCGCTAACTAAGCGTGCGATCTCACCAGTTAACGTAAGCCTTCATCGTTTACCATCTTCGATACAGCAAGATGAATTGGAATGTGTTGCTAACGGTACATTAGCAAATCTAATCCGACAGTTGAGTTCACTCAGCCGACATGCTGAACATATTTTTGGCGAAGTTTATCACGAGGCCGTGAAATTGGATCACAAAACAAATACTTTATCGCAGAGGATTGAAAGGTTAATGCATAATGTGACACAACTGGACTACACACAAGAACAAGGTTCTTTTACTTTTTTAGATTGAGTGATTGAATTCATAGTTTGAAAGATGAAGCGAAGTATATTGTTATTGGTATTATGGCAGATCTGACTCGATAATTCGATGTTCTTTGAACTTTATTTTTGATCATGGAAATATTTCAGTGTCACTTGAAGATTTGCATTTGCGAAAACCATTCAAAAGTAGCTGTATAATCGACCAGCATACATTAGATCGTCAGACGTTACCTTCTGCTTTAGCAGAATGTTATGCTGCTTGTGATCCACCTCCCAATCTAGATGCTTTAAATCCTTATAGAGACGACAAAAAAAATGCACTTAGGTTAGCTTTTATCATGTTTCCTTTCTTGATATTGAGATTTTTAATACGAAAAAAGATTGTATTTTGATATCATATGAAAACGAAGAGGAAAATTGCATGCATGTTTTGTAGGTACTATACAGATCCTTCATATTTCTTCGATTTGTGGAGGCAAGAGATGTTAAAAGATGTTGGCGATGGACGCCGTGGACGTTCCATTAGATCACCAACAGAAAACAAAAGTCCTCGAAAGAAACGTAATCGTCAACCTGTGACAAATAATATTGGAAGAGATTCCATTCCAAGGTTGAAGATGCTTATATTCTGCTTATGCTTGTGTTCTTTTTTCCCTAACGTGATGCATTTCGCTTTGTAATAAAAGTATCGGTATAAAACAGGTATTTTTTATTATATTTCTAGATATATTTTATTATATTTTTAGATATTCTATCGCATCACAACAGCGTCCTGCAGACATCATGCATTTTCCAGCAGAATATCAAGCACCACAAATAGTGCATATCGATCAAGTCCGTGCACCGGCTGGAATGAGCGTACCAGCTAGTAATGGATATGCTACTGCGATACCAAATAAAGCTTCGGTTGCGCCTTTTTGTTCACCTGTCAAAGAGGCAAGGTTTTTTGAGTTTTCAGTGAACATTAAAGGAATGCTGATGCAACCGAAGCTTTTTTTTTTACTGCTTGCTTGAAATGCACCTGCTTATTTACTCATTTTTAAAATTCTCTGTCGCTCTTTCGAGACTAAGTGAAATTTCAGGAATCGCCAGTTGTTTCAGCTGACAACCAAATAGCTGCTCAGTTGGCCGATATTGACTTGCAAGACGATTCTCTTTTGGAAGACGATCTTCCTCCACCACCACCACCTCTCATGCATACTTCACTAGTTTGCCAGATGCCCTCTCCACCTACAATGCAGTACGTCGCTCCATCTGGAAATTCTATTCCACCGCCGCCTCCTCCTCCGCCACCGCCATCTTCTGTCACCTCTGCTGCAGCAGCTACCCAGTCGCTTGTTACTGTTGCATCTTTTGCTAATAAAGAAGAAGTGAAAAGCGAAACATCCGCTACTCAAGTTTCTGATACACATTCAAATTTACTCGCTGAAATACAGTCTGGCATAAAACTTAAGCAGGTAAGATAGGCTGTTCTAGCCACCTTCAAGTCGTGGAGCTTTCTTGTTAAACGCAAAATTTGACGAAGTATAATTTGTAGGTACAGAGGAAGGAACAAGCAGCAGAGGAAAAAGCAGCTGTAGAAACGAATGATGTTGCGGCTATATTGCGACGTAGAATGGAGCATATTCTGGGGCATTCCGATAGTAACAGTGAATCTCCAACAGATGATGATGAAGAATGGGATTAGCTAACATAGTCTCATTCTAGTAACTCACATGGTAGTAACTGTGCCTTTTAGCCTTAATAAATAAAATTAATTTTGGAAACAGTTTGATTGAGATATTTGATCAATTTTATACCATAATCCCTCACTAATTGATTCAATTGTTTTGTTTCTTTTTTGGTCCTTAGATGTCAGTCCCACACTTTGACTGGCTATCCAGATTAAATTTTACGAAAACTTTGGTTTTGTTTTTATGTTGATTGACGGACTCGTGCATTGAATGATAAAACGTGAGAAATATTATCATGAAGAATAGATGATATTTTTTGACGCTTAATGTTTGATTCAGTTATGGAAACATATATTTTTTATGTTTAATGTTAAGTTAACGATTTAGTTTTATGTTAACGAGATTCAGCTGTCAGTTTTGTTGTTATTCGATTATTTATCCTAGTCCAAGTGTTATTACGTAGGTAATCGTTAAATACTCTCCATGATTCCATGTTCAGTGACTCTAAAATTAATGTCAGCCAATTCTTTTGATTTATTCAGTGATGTCGTTATATGTTTTTACTGCTCATTGTAATATTTGCGGTCATTTATTATCCACATTGTTGCTTTTATTTTTGGGTCTTCGTGATTTACAGGTCCCTCCTTGTGAATAACACCTATAACAAGCTTTGTTATTGTTTTATAAATTTGTCATCAGTTTTTATATTAAACATATTTTGATCTTTGAATTCCGCATTTGTTAAAAATTGCTAGAGAGTATTTCACTTATTTTCGCTGTGGGCAGTAGGCTTTTTTGGAATATTTGGAGTGACAGTTATATTAACTCTTTACATCCGCATATTGCCCTTATGTTTTCTTGAATGATTGTTATAACTGTCAATACTCTAAAGAACTTTTTGCAGTATGTGCAGAAAGCAAATTGTTGATGCAATAAAAGTTATCAAGAGAATTGCTGTGCAGAAATTCATCACTGGTCTGCAGGAACGTGAAGCGAAATGTATTAAAGATCGAATCAGTAAAGTGAGGTTTCGTTTATTTGTCGATCACCGATGCAAATCTTTGGAACTGGAAGTTCGTTGAGTGCCAATCATCGAAATAAGTATTTGAGGAAAGTAACAGATCGTCTGTACATTCGACCTTTACTAAATGATGTTGTTGACAGTGTAGTTGTTCGACCATTCTGTTTATGGTGGTAAATGTAATCGAAGTGTGATGTTGGTGACAGCCTATAAGGCACTTGGTGGACAACAGGATGAAAAACGGTTGGAAATGGTAACAAATGTAGCAGCGTGTTTGGAACTTTTGCAAAGCTTTTTCCTCATCGAGGATGATGTAATGGATGAAGGCATCAATAGAAGAGGCAAACCATGTTGGCATCGATTGGTTATTTTTGCTTTTCGTCCGATGAGATAGTTTTGCCTATTGTTTTGGATCATTTTATATCTCTGAAATTCTTGTGTTCTATCACTGAAATTCTTATAGTTTTTAATCATACTAGTTCTCGACGATTTAAAACATTTAATAATATTCTTTTTGTGTTAAAAAAAGAATATGACAGGGGAAACGGCTTACGTATCATTTGTTCTAATAACCAACTTTGAAATATTCTTAGGAGGGGATAGGAATAAATGGAATCAATGACGGTTTACTGCTGGACTGCATGGTGTCGTACATTTTACGCAGTAATCGAGTTCCAGCTGCCGTTAGAGATGCCTTCGATGAAGTAAGCTCTATGTTTTAGCTGTTTTTTCGTCTCCTAGTATCTTCAGATTTGAAAAATGATGTTGGCAGCTGAAAACTTTTCCTATTTTTATTAAGAGGAAAGGTAACCACTTATTTTCGTTCAAAAATATTTTTTTAAGGCTCGGCGTGTTACAGTACTTGGACAGATATTAGATGGTGATACAAAGGGTGTTGAAGACTGCACTTGGCAAAGGTTATTTGATACTTCAAGAATTTTTAAGTCATTTTAACAACGATATTTTATTTCCCGATGACCAATTTCAGATATTGGACAATAACGCAGCACAAAACATCGCATTATACTTATTTCACACCACTACAGATTGCAGCTCTTTTGACTGCGCAATCATCAATCATTGAACCTTTGAAATGGATCGCATACCAACTTGGTTTTCTGTTCCAATCGAAGGTATCTTTTCCGCTGAATTTGGAAGCTGGCGGCAAACTCTGTCGTTTAAAAGGTTGAAAGACTTCATGATGTGTCTTCATCATTTTTGTAGAATTGGTTGACTTCGAAAGGTTGGCAACTGATACCACTAAGTTTCTAATAACAGCATAGCTGTTTTATTTCGTTCTTTCATTTGTAAAGAAGTTCCAACTCTTTAGGATGATTATATGGATTGTTTTGGCGATAAATCGATAATGGGTAAAGTAGGAAACGATTTGAGGGAAGCGAAGTGTACATGGGTCACCTGTAAAGCAATGGAGAAACTATCAGATGAACCAAGCTTCCTAATGGATTTCCGGGTAAAATTTTGCTTCAAAATTAAATTAAACTAAATTAAACCAAATACAAACTAGTTGATCAAAAAACAGAAATTTTTTCTTCTATCCCTTAAAAAACAATCATTTTCAGGAGCACTTTGGTAAACGAAACATTACTTCCGAGCAAAAACTGAAAGATATTCTGGCACATTTGCGAATCGCAGACGATTTTCCCTTATTTCGTGAAAAATGCGCGGTTGAAATACTCAGCAATATTGATCATTTCCCAGCGATAGATCTTAGACCAATCTTACGACAATCAATCGATGATTTGGTAAATGGCAATCTTTGATATATTATTCTCTTACCGTGCTGGAATTGAATGACAAAAGCACATTTCATTTAATCCTAACAGCAAGTGGAATGATGTATTTGGGAGAAGCGAGATTTGACTTTGGTTCAATATTCCCACTTATAAATTAAAATTTCTGAAACAATCTTGTTTGCTTTTGGCACGTGCAGTAAGTGTTCGCAGCCAAGTTTATGCCATAAAATGCTAGTAAAACTAAAAGGCCTTTATTCAGCAGAAATCTGAAAAATGGATAAGTGAAAGGTAACAATATAACGAGTACTGCTAAAGACCATTCTCGATAATGTGTTATGTATAGTATCTATATCATTCCCCATGTTCGAAAATAGTGGATCACCCAGCAGTGGTAATAAATTATTCCCTCCGAATTTACATCATTTACTTTGCATGAGCAAGATATAATTTTAATAACAATAACAATTTTAATGGAAAAATCTCCTAGAACAAGAAAAAGCTGCATTATTCCAAAGGAATGCAATTTAGTTGTTTTAACTTTTCGGCAGTCCTTACAAAAACTAAAAAACAAGTTCATGGGTGTAAAGTGTGGGAAAATGGAATCTAAATAATAATTCACGTCAAAATGCAACAGTGCATATAATTTAATAATTATCACAACCTTTGGCTCAATTGAACGAACAAAAAACTGGAAAGAAAGCAGAAGGAACTCTTCCAAATATAGCTAGTCTGAAAGCTTAGACTGTGTACAGTACAACAGCAATGGCTGCCTTCTTTTTCCTAAGAAAATAAGAAAAAAATGAATGTAGGACACATTGAAACGTACTAGTCGTCGAAACTTTTGAAAAAATCACCCGAAACAACTTCAAAGACATAAAGTCTTGTTAATAAAATTTCGCTTTCTCCGGCTTGCTTCTGAAATGAAAAGTACTTCAAAAATAAGCTTTCAGAAAGGTTCATAGAGCAGTGGATGTATTTGCTTCGAAATGAGAAATCTCTAATGGATAAGCAATTAAGGGGGTGGGTTACTGTTAAAACTTACCTTATCCACAGGACGAAAATGATAATTGCACTCTGCGCTAAAATAATAGTTATGAAAAATGATGATGACAAACAGGAAACGTTTTCACAATTACCACCAGGAACTTGAGCACTTGGCTGAAAAAGAAATAAATTGTAATTCATGAAAAAGACTTTCGTTATTACTGTTCACTAAAGAAATGATAAAAAAGCGCTAAAGAATGTGGAACAAAATAAATGGAGCAGGAAATATCTGAAGAATTGTTCGGAAGACAAATGAACGGAACAACAGAAATTGTAAGAAATCACATAATAGCACGCACATTGCTTCACGAATAATATTCAGCCCCCCCAAAAAAAAAGTATTTTTCCACCATTGCAAGGTGGTATTTTATGCTTATTTTATTACTTATCAAAATTCAAATAAAAATTACCGTTCCAAGCTGCGTTGTTCTAATTTGTCGTACATCATTTTGTATTGTTTCCATGAGAGATCGTAAAGTTGGATCTGGTGTAGTGCCAGAGAGAGATCCCACTGAACTTCCATCTCCAATTTTCTGCTCCAGATTATAGGTACGAGTGAATATTTCATTTAGGTAGCTCTTCATATCCCGGATATTTGATGTTAAATCCCGTAGTGACTACAACAAAAACTTCATAACAAATATAAAAGTTTTCTAGCTCACATACAATCAATCAACAGCAATACATTTTACGAAAAATTATGGAAAAAGATAATGACCTGCAATGCTTCATCCTTTTCATGCTGCTGGAAATTTCCAGTACCGACAGCCACTTCACTTGGTTCACCTCCGCCAACTCTACCTGTACACTGTTGAATCAGTGAAGATTGAACATTTTGTTGCTGACTAAAAGTAATATTTTGAAATATTTTCAGTTTTCTACTACAGTAATTTCATATAAGAAAGTACCACTCAAGGATACCTGATATCCTGCAATCGACTTTCCAGGTGTTGTAGAATTTGACGGATATTTGTTTGCATTTCAAGAATCATCCTCATTTCTCTCTGCGATGCATCTTCATATACTTCAGCAATTTCATCAAATGTATCTGGTTTTGCTTTTTCCGGATGCTCCTCTTTGAATCTAAAAAAACAAAAAAAAACCGAAACTCCTCGATTTTACTTCTGTTTCTCGAAAAAAAAATTTTCTCAAAAGTAGACAAAAAATTATTCAAAAAATCTAATTGTACACAATATTCGTACTTTTGTCGTTCTTTTTCATACTCCTTCATTTGTCTTTCAAATTCAGCATCATATTTCTGCTTTTCCTCTTGTGGAAGAGCTGAAGGCGCTAGTCCTCTATCGGTATATAATGAAAATACGCTATACTTTACAATATCATGATCATCTGCTAAACCGCCCGTAGCAGCGGAAATACCTGAAGATTCAAAAATTCACTTTTCTAGCGCAAGGGACATCTTTTGAAACTTATGAAATTTGTACCTGTTTTCAATTTATAATAAAATCTCATCTAACCTAACATTATTATCTTATTGCTTTAATTTCAGTACATACCGAAAAACCCGTTCTTTGGCAAAAATATATTTTCTGAGCGAAGACATAATTCGTAACGAGGTATGGCTTGCAGACCATCGGATATTGATACGGTAATAATATTGTGAAGATACTCAATTTTCAAATGTACCGGATATGGTTTGTTACGAAAATCTTTCTGGCAACCTGAAACTCCATAACTTGGTATTTTAATGAGAAAATACTCAAAAAAAAAATCCAAAAAATCATTTTTATTAGATACCAAGCTTATATAAGTCATTAGATACGGTAACTGTTATTAATTACTTTAATTTTTTTCCAAGAATCAAATTGAGGTTCGAGAAAGAATCCACCTGAAAGCATTTGTTGAGAGCCATCTGTCTGATGATCATACTGCCTAGTACCATCATTAATCATTAACGCCACAAATGGATTATTTTTTTGGGCATCATTATCAAAAGAATCCAAGAAAAGCCCCATTCCTATCCAGTAATCATTTGCTCCAAATACCTGAAATAGAGACGACTGGCTTTCTTTCGATAAGTGTGAGAGTTAATGACATCATCAAGATCATAAAAGAAAGCACTAATGAGTGGAAAAAAGTGATCGCCCTTGCAGAGAACAAACAGTAATGGAAAATTATCAAACAAATCTCAGTGATTGGTGACTATAAAGATTGACATAATACCGATATAAAATCAGTAATACAGTTTCACTATTTATTCCTGCGAAAGAATGGAATTAATATCAATTATTATTTATTACTAGAAAGTTCAAAGGCAATGAATTGGGATCTGTCGATCGTGCCATCCCTAACTATTAAATATGATTGGTTGAAATTATAAAAAGCTAGTTACAAAAAAATCTACTTACAGGACCAAGAGTAGGTTGCTGAGCAGTATACCAGATAGCAATACCATCAGCACCAATACGGCCCTGCCCAGTTACTCGAAAAGCAACTTGAATTTCAAAGTTATCTGATTCAGCCATTACCCGCTTATTCCATGCAAGTCCTAAAATTATTATATTCAAATATCTGCACCTGAAAGACCTACTATTTCTCTTATAATCATTAAATTATCGCTATTAACAAACCATGATATTACAGCGACTCCAATGCAATGGAATATCATACTTACCTTTTCGACTCCTCATAGACGGTGCTAATCGAAGTTGTTCACTGGAAGCTAATGCATCACCAACAACTGTCCAGAATGGTATAGTACCATCACGTAAAGATAAATCAGGTGCACGAAAGCTGTGCTTGTATTCAAAACGTCTTTGTACAGGCCCATTTGCCGCTTGCGTTAGTAATGATAACCTATATATTGTTATCAGAAATAAAAACGATGCAAGGGTCCACATCACAGTTGCCCTGAAAAGCTAACTAATAAAAAACATTAGTGGTAATTATAAGAAACAAGGGCGGAGTTAATTAACTTTATAAATTTAAATCTAGAGAAAATGACAACAAAAAACTTTTATGTGCAACATTCCAAAAAGCTTAGATCTTTGTATCTATTCCATATAATTACAGTTAATTGCACTAATACAACATGAATAGGTAAATCAATTTTTGCTCTTTCCGCTTGGTCTCATTTCGTTCTTCATCCTGTACAATAGATAAACTGTAATATCATAATGCAGTAGGAAAATTTTGTTTACATGATTAATGAGATTAGCAATGGAAATGTAATACCTTATCTATCACAAAGATATAATTATCAATTTTAAATTAACAAAAAATGTGTTAATAGATTTCCACCATGACGTTTTCTTTGTTTAAGACACCAAATCATACACACACACATGTATGTAGGTCAATCACCATCAATATAATATATAACAACATATCATTTTAAATTTGATACTGAATATTATAGCTGGTGTACAATAGATAAAGTGTAATATCATAATGATGCCTGTGGCATTGATTATTAAATGATAATGGATAAACAGAGAGGATACATCACTGAAGAACCATAGAGGATGGATAAAGATCCTCAACAATAACAACTTCAGAAGCGCAGTTCTACTTCTAATATTTTCTCGTGCTTTTTGATCAAAAGCATAAACATTATAATTTCAATAGACACGAAATGACCACCAAATAACGATCACATATCAACATGTGATGATGACGGCACGATAAACTGTATCAAAAATATACAATCTCCATCAATTACTCCAAAATTACTATTCTATTCAGTGTGATAATTCACCAAAGGCTTGCTCTCGCTATGTCTACCAAAGTCAACAGGATATATCGATAGCAGACAGCAATACCTGGTCTGATGTTTAGAGTGATTTCGCTTTTTATCTTTCTACCATCTGAACTTATCAAACAAAATCTATTAGATTAGCTGTCCAGCCTATGTTATTTCATAGGAATAAAAAGAAAGGAACAAATTTGAAAAATCATATCTGATATATAAGTGCTCCCGACATAACCATTATCAAAAATGCAATTTTTATCTTCTAGAAAGAAATTTTATTTTAAAATAATTAAATTACAAAAAAACACAATGACACAAAATTGAAAATCAACATCATAACTTCCTAGTCAGTACCATTTTCAACTCATTGAAATATTTAAATTTTCAATTTATTTATAATAGTTTGACACAAAGTATAACATACGACAATGTTCTAGAAAACTGAAAGCAATATATATATACTCATGTATTAGTGGAATAAATCAACAAATATCATCGAAAGCGCAATGATAGTAAGAGAAGACATACCTGCAAGGATAATGTACAAAAAATCCTCTGAAAAAATAATATTTATGCTATCATAAAAAAATATGTAGCAATTGAGAAGTGGAAAAGCTTTTCTTTTTGAAATATATTTCTCATTGGATGAAATTAATATAGTTTAACCAGAAACCAACACATCTTCTGAAAATGATTGCGAGTGCTAAACTTATTCGAATGATTTTTTTCCAATAAGTCCATTTGTCGGCTAGGATTTCCCGATTTAAATTATATTTTTTCGATTTTAACGGCCAATAGGAACTATGATCTTTCCAACAGTTTAGCAATTTCGAATATGTTCCGCCTTCTAGCTTAACATGACAAGGTTATGCATCATGAATTGGCTAAGTAAAATATCGCGTAGAAATCTCCGTAATGTATGGCAATGTATAACATGCTTTTATCTGTTTAAACCATAAGTGGTAAAAATGATTACAGTTGTGTTGCATTTATTCAAAATTTTATGTATACCTAATTGTGAAATTAGAGTTTTGAAATTAAAAAAAACAAGTCCATGAAATATCATTTTCTGTAGAGCAACATTTCTCGGGCGACCGGTCCAACTACTCGAGCATATTCCTCCATGAATGTTTCCGTTTCTTCAAAATCCGGTAGCGTTAACAAAATCCGATAAGGAAAGATATTCCTAGAAAAAATTCGCTAGTAATAACTGTGATCGTGTTATTTCTGAATCTCATAATGTATCAAAATCTGCTTCAAGTCAATAGAATTAATTTACATTTTGTAAAGACATTTTATAGATTCCACTGGACATTTTTCAGCTACCGGAGCATCTGGAGCGAATGCCTCGATTCGTTCGCCAAATCTCTCTATCATTTCCAAACACTTTGCTAGAGGTACCCACGTGAAACTACGATCGCATAGCAAATCGGACGGATGAAAATGCTGTTTGTAGCGCATTTTCTGACATGAATGAATGTAAAACCCCATATAGTAGTAGTGTAACTGTTGCCTTTCTTTTGCAAGCTCTTGAGTAAATGCAATTTCTCTGAAATTTATGGAGATTTAAACTTAAATATAATAATTTTATATTAAAATATAATAATTCGAAAATCCGTAAGACTCAGAAAATATCTTGCTGGTGATAGAAATTCCCTTGTTGGTTCTAAAATTTTAGAAATTAATGATCGAAAAAGGATTTCTTACTCTCCCAAAATAAGTTTCAAATTTTTGATCTCATTCTAATTAAAATGCCACATTTTGTCCAGCCTCCCCAGATAACCCAGCTATCAAAAAAATCGAAATAATTTTGGAAAAAGAATTTACTTTTCTACCTAAATAATTAAAGTGCTTGCTAAAAACTGTTATTTAATTTTATCATTTATCTTCTTCATAAGCAAATTCATCCAACTTGAAATCTGCATGTCTTAAGCGCCTGACAAACCTACATTTTGAACATCTGGCAAATTAATTCACATGTAAATCTATATCATAAAGATTATTCATCAGTGCGTTAAATTGCTTCAAAAGTTAAGCTAATCTTTATTCATTTAGCATGCTTGTGTCTAAATTGTTTGCGAACATAATTATGATTATCTATAGCAGAAACAGTGTCATGGAACAGTCTTCAATACAAAGAGTGACTTGACTCAACCGTAATACTTTTTGATTATTGTGTCATAACATCAGGAAGAATAAAACTCATCTTCCACAGAGAATAACCCTTTACAATAATCTTTGCCTGCGAAACAACAAACTACTCAAATCAAAAACGTCCATGATACTAGCGATGGGCTTATCTATAGAGTACCAGAAATATTCCAAAATTTCATGTTTAAAATGTAACTTTCCCGGTGTTTTTCGAATTGTAAAACAACATAAAGCAAGCTGAATGTAATTTTCATTCGAAGTACTGTTTAACTGATTAACCACAAATAAAATCTAAAAGTTCATGATTATACCGTAAAGCAGTATATGTTCCAAGGGTGAGAAATTCGTAATCGGGATCGTAGTAGAGGTATTTGGCCGACAGGCAGCGTGGTAAAATATCCACAACACCAACAGCTATCAGACGGCCATCAAGATAATATTGTTGGTGATATGAACCAAGTGCAATACTCTAAAATCAATTCTTTGATAGCTCCATTATATTTTTTTCACTGATATGGTTAAAAAAAAGACCATAAATTTAGAAAAGGTCTTTGAGGTGCAAATTGGAAATTAAGACATTTTTTCCAGCGACGCCTATCAAAGATCAAAGAAGAAATTTATAGAAAAGAAATGGATAATTATAAAAACAGGAAACCAAAATCGCTCAAATCAATTAAATATAACATACCTTACTTTCATCTCTTTCATCGTTGAAAAGTGGTGAATCTGCAAGGAAATTCCGGTAGCTAGTTCTATTACAGCGAGTATCATGGTGAACATTCGTTTGGTATTTCTCGTACAATTTGAAGCTTTCTTTGAAAGTCTCATTAAATTCAGATGAATTTGAATTAACCAAACGTACCTAGGAACACCACGTAAAACTTTATATGGTCAATTGAGAAAGAAAAAAATCTTCGAAACAAGTTTACGTTCCAAATGAAAAGAAAGGATGATCATTGCAATGCGTTAATCCAACAAAAACTTCCAAACTTTTGGAAAGAAAAAAGTAGGAATAAACGAAATTTCTGAAATGAAATAAATCTGCATATTACTTGAAACCGTCAAACAACAAGTTACTTCTAATTTATGCTTGAAAGTTTCCGAATCGTAATTGACAATGAATGATTCTAGTGTTCTTCTCCGAAATTCTTCTTTTTCTTGACGTATTCTTTGAGCCTAAAATTGCTAGCAAATAAGCTAGACTCTTCAGATCAAAAAATCAGTTTCCAATGCAACGTGCTCGATAACCAACCATAAGTTAATTAAAACCAAACCTCCTTGATATTGATACCTTTGTCGCGCATTCTTTGGAAAGCTCTTTCTCGCCTGAGAACTTTCTTCTTTCTTCCCTTTTTCTGAAGTTCATGATTTAATGTTTTTTTACTATCATCTTGAACTTTTTTGACTTGAGAATTTGATGAAATAGCGTTGCTTTCAGTCGTTCTCTTCGTTACATTGCGTTCCGATATTTTTGCTCGTTCACTCGGTCGAACATCTTTCTGGAGAAAATCATTCATTCGACGCAATATTCTTTTCTGTGCTTTTGACAAGCGGAAATTGTTGACATCAAGTCTAAAATCAAAATTTTCAAATTGAAGCCAGGTTTATACCTTATCATATGCCTCGAAGCACTACACATAATGATGAAAATTTTATTTTCTAGTAAAATAAAAAAGCTTTAGAGAGAGGAAGAGATACCTGATTGTATATGATGGACAGCATGTATTAGCAATCACTGGCTTGTACAAATACTTACCAGATCTGAAAATTAAACACTGCTTAAACGCACCGTAAAGATAAAGATTGAAAAGTGATACCTTCTCATCCCTCTATCGAGTAATTCGTTATAGTGTGATATCGAAAGACTGCGTGTCCACATACCTGAATTTGAGCCTACAATTCAACAAACGCCACAAGATTTTGATAAATTTTTTTGAGAACAAAAGTGACTTGATTTGCTTTGTATCAATGTTTCGCAGTTCATAAATGAATTTTAGTCGAATTTTCCTTAATAAAGCAGGACAAAAAGCTTGGAGCAACAAAGTATTTCTGTCACTTTTGTTTTATTTGTCGAATTACCGGCTATATCCTCTATCTAAGAGCTGATTAAAGTGCTCGCATGACAGATAATATCCCATAACTCCTGCAATAATCAACGCTATATTTCATGGTCATTTTAAATCAATAACTTCTTCACCCCAAACAAAATATCCAACTAAAAGTCAAAAACAGGAAATTTTGAGAAAGTTAATGATAATAGAAACAACTGCAATAATTCCATGACTGCAATAAAATGGGATACCAATGCTCGTTGGAGTTGCTTCCTCTCGACGACAGTAACCGCACAGTCCGCCTTTATTATAACCAACATATTCAACAATGGAATATTGCTGCTGATGAATTGCGGTACTACTTGCATTTGACATCACTAAATATTACTGCTTGAAATGCTTCATGTAAAAGCACACATCAGTTACACGTTAGCGCGATAGCTGTCATATATGAATTGGACAAAAGAAATGTCTGCCAGTAAAATTAGACAAATATCTGTTATCATTTATTTCTATTTTCTAACACAGAGTCTCATCAAAATCATGAATCTTTATCTTGTTTTTTCTCTTTTTCCTTCTTTCGTGATGTGCGCTTCTTCAGCGACAGTTCTTCTTTTTCCGCTAATTTGGCTGCCTGCAATCTCTCACTCACATTTAGTCGATAGATTGATCAAAGAAATAAAATAAAAAGATAAAAAGAACATTCGAAATCTTCATTAAGCAAGAACTGATGCTGCGCAATTTAAAAAACCGAAGTTTCTCCAAAAGATGATAAGAAGAGAAATTTCCTTGAGGATGATAATCACTAACTTTCTTCTTTGCTTCAGTCATTTTTTCAAACAAAATTGGGAATCGTGGGTCATTCGCCGAGACTTCATAGCCATAGTATTCAAGCATATCTCGAGCTTGCTCTTCCGCTTCTAATTCCTGCTTCGACTTTACAGGAGCCACCTCTTTTTGATTTTCCAAAAATTCCCTCAGTGTTTCCGGATATTTATCTTCAAGTGCGGCCACTTCTTTAAGCCTGAAATTTTAACATTGTGATCTTAATGAACGAATTTATATTATGATTAGATGCGCAAGCAAAAAATCAAGCTGCAAAAATATGTTACATATTACACGAACAAAAAAATCGCCATTTCGTATGAATGATTACCTTGTTAAAGTAGTGGTATATTCTAACTTCTTGGCATTTTCCACAGCTTTTAAGACATCACTGTACTTCCTATACCAGTCAACCGCTTCTTCCTCCTGAATTTCCTGAAAATAAGTATTCATCCTCAAATATCTCACTTGATTTTTTTGATTAATCCCTCGATGCAATTGCAGAATAAGTTATTTTGAAAATATGGCAAACCATTTTGAAAGAATGATAAACTAGCAAAATAAGAATTAAATTTCGCTTTGAAAGTTGGGGTGGCTAGACAAAATCCAGTTCAACTCATTGCATACGGCAATGAGTTGAACTGAATTTTCTCATCGCATGAATAATCACCGTACAATATTGCTGAACTTTTAAGTTTAGAAAAAAAATAGTGGGAAAAGTGATAAACGAAACGCAATCCTCACTTCGATAGTGGGCCATAATTCTTCAGGATTAACACCACTGGCCAAACCATAGGTACCGAAACGTTCACGTTTTGCCCATAGCTCTTTCTCCCATTCATAAGATATAGGCGGTAAGCGACCTTCAGCAATTAAACGATGCCTTTCCGTTAATCTGTAATTTGGAATGGTACTTATCAAGTTAACTACCTGCAACAATGATTAAAGTGAATAAGCAAAGGGTAGAGTAGGAATACTACGGTAAGAAGTCAAGTTTAACATTACCTTGATACAATTTTGGTATTCCTACTACCGCACTCTTCATCCAATAGACTTGACGAGCTGTCAACAGCATTTGAGGTCCCTGCTGTTGTTGCTGTGTCCAGGAAAGATGAATATCGTGTCACACATAACACTGATAATCGGCCACACTGCATCATTACTACTACATCATATATTTATGACGGCAGGATAACTGAAGATGACCTGAAAATACGTCCAGCGATTTTCCGGAATACAATACTAGCTGACTTGTAGCAGATAGGTTCTCATTGTTGGCTACTCGACCCGTCCTGCGGATGTGCTGTGTTTTAGAAGTATTTTCGGTGTTTATTGAGGAGATAAACCGTGGTATCCTGGGTGTCTACTAGTCGTACCTTTCGTGCTCATCGCATTTACATCTAATTTCACATTTTCTAGGTCTAGATCTTAGTAGGACTAAGTAGAGGATATGATTATGTAATTTTTAAAAACACTCAGGATTGCTTAATCTTAATTTACTGTAACTTACAGTTAGAATTGATTGCTTCAAGTGGATTCTTATTTTTTTTCTTTTAAATGATATTCATTTGAAAATTACGGTATGAATCATTGTTAGAGAGCTTTTTATGATTCATGTCAAAGCCGCCGAAGTGGCTTTGGTTTCTGGATCTTAGTATTGGTGTCATATTCGTTTCCGGCATTACATCTTTTCTTATTTGGCGTCGTTCGGAAGACTTTAGAAAGAATACTTTCTCTCATGCACCGCACGTTGCTGATTATTTTTATCGGGTTTGTTTTCTATTATTTATTTATTTTTTATTCCTTATAATATCTTTCTTATTTTTAACTTCGCCTTCGTAAAGAATGATACCATCAATGATAATTATCATTTGAAATCTGTTATTCTTTTTTTCTTGAGAAATTTTTGTAATCAATTTCTAGGCAGAAGATATAATTGGTGGACAGCTTCGAGGAACACGTTTAAAAAGGAAAGATTATCAGAAGTGGTTCCCGGAAGAAAACGAATAGCAGTGACATTTCTATATCGTTCCATTATGATAATCAAACTTTCTCATATTAAAGCTTGCACGCTCCCTGTTGGTCTTGTATGTAAGTAGTAGTTATTTAATTTGCATATTTTTATGAGTTTGTTCAAGGATTCAAATTTCCACTTGGACCTCTCAGCTGTTTGGACTTAATTTATCTCATCTAACAAAACAAGCCTCTTGCAAGAAGAAATCAGGGCAAATGATAAAATGAACAATAGAATGGACACTTTGAGGGAACGAAAAACTAGTTTACATCTTCAAATATGCTAAATTTCAACGGTCAGCATAATCTATTTCAAACATGCTTCATTTCAGCTGGTATGTCATCTTATATAATGTACGAAAAATGGAAGAAAAAACAACCTCCAAAAACAATACCAATTCAAAGTTTAGAGCGTTTTGAAAACATGATGAAACCTATGGAAGGATCTATGATGCGTCCTAAAACCAACAACTGATTTGATTCGTTTTGTTACATAAGGCAATATGTAGAACCTTGTATATTATTGTATTTATCAAATTCCTCATGTTTTAGTGTCATCATTTCCAAATAGTGAGATTTTCATTGATCAAAAATGAGAAATAAGTTTTCAATGGCTGTTCTTTCCATGAATGGAATTTTTGTTCTTCCTTAAGTTGAGTATATGACGATCCATTTAGCAGTTATTCCCACTAACCCGTATTTTTTTGGTTTCTTTTATGCAATCCGTGGTAGTGAATATTCCGAGTGCTTCTTGCTTTTTTGGAATATAAAATGTGCCTTCTCATTATGGAATTATGTACGAAAGATCGAAACTTTTTCGCGTTTCCTAAAATATTTTTTAAAGAATTTTCAATGGTTAGCCTTCGCTTTTACTGCTTTTTGTTGGAAGAGGAAAAAGTGAATTTTCAATTAATATTCAATTTTTGCAGTATTTTTATTAATAATATTAATATTTAATAAGTAGTATTAATATTTAACTATGTTTCATTCTCTTTTAGAAATCTGATCGCGATAAAAAGATTTTTCAGCGTTCTTGATAGTTCTTGAAGTGTGAATCAACTGTGTTTTCAAGATGAGTCTTCCCATGAAAGTGCCCACTCCAACACCACCTGCAAAAGGATCCTTCCCTTTGGATCATGAAGGGCAGTGCAAATATGAAATGTTGAAATATATGCTTTGCATGAATGAACATGAGGTGGGTAGTGGTTAAGTACTATTTTCTGATTTTCTATTTTCATATTTCCTAATTCTTGGAAGGGACCAGGAAATATTTCCAATCCCTGTTGTGATATTTCATTTCAGCAAAAGGCTGATGAATGTCGTGACTTTGCAAAAATTTATCTGAAATGTCGAATGGACAATGGATTAATGCAGCACGAGGAATGGAAGTACCTCGGTTTCTCTGATAAGAACGAAACGTAATCGTGAAAAGTTTCATCTTATGGAAATTTCGTCTCATAGTTTTCAAGCATGAATCGACTTTTCATTTACAAAAAACGTGTGGAGCTGGTCATAAGCATATCGTTGATACAAATGCTTGCGCTGTGATGACATCTTACAAGATTTTTATATTAAATTTGCTAGGAAATATTTAGTAAAAATTTGTAACACATTCTAAAACAATTAAAAAAGTTGGGGCAAAGTCAGAACCGACATATACCATATATCTTTTGGGATGTCTTCATTAGCTCTAGCCAACAGAATTAAGAATAACTTCCAACCTTCCGTTCTTCACCACTGGCAAATACATAAGTCCTGGATTGGATGAATCTCTTTGATTTATTTAACTTTAAAACTAATTTTGCAGAATAAACGAATAAACTGAAACGAAGTGATTCAAAACTCTCCTAAACGAGTAAAACTTTTGTTTCTTTGCAGTAAGGTTTGCATGAATGAGACTGGAACATACTTTATAGGTGGGGAGGGAGAGCGGGGAGAGGGGAAGTTGAGAACTCATAATGAAAATATGGATTCGTGATTACTTCAAAGTATTTGTGTTCTATGATGCTGCTGAATTTGAGGTAATGTAGTGAAATACAGATTAGTAATGAGAATTAGGTCGTTAAATTTTCCGAGAATTATAATGCTAGAAAATGCCTCACAAACATTTTGAACTATTATTAAAAATTTCTCCAATGTCGACTTATAATTCTGCTAATATAATTTCAGCCAGTGTACACTTCACTAGTTTATCATTATGGCATCATTTTAATAAAAAGTTGTGACTGTAACTGTAATATATGAATGCAGTAGCGTTTGGCCTCGATTAATTAAATAGTTCATTAGAAATCTTATGATATTGTATTTAATTTTTAATATTTTTATTGGGAATGCTCATTAATGATGTCCTTTGACATTATGATACTTTTTTTTAATTGTAGTTTTATTCTTAGCGCAATATTTCAATTAATAAATTTATGACTTTCGACGGCAGTTTTAGGATATGGTTCGATTTCTAGCTTCAGTGGACATTGAGTAATGAACGAAACATTATTCCCTTTTTAAAATTTACACCGACTAATTTAAATTTTATTTGTAGATTTTGAGATTCGAAAATAAAATAAAAATAAATATGCTTGTTACATATTATAAAAGTTTGCGTTTATTACCTTATGAAATTTGAGTGAATGAATCATGTAATTCATTTTGAGATATTCAAGGTATTCAAGAGGGAAAATGATGCTCCTATAATTTGCTCAAAATGTTTTATGCAATTCAAGATGGTAATTACAAGTCGTTTATATTAGAAATTAGAAAAAAATGTTTTCTGAAAAATTTTACACATCCTAGTGCTAATTAATATAAGCATAGACAAAAGAATAAAATAATAGAAATGATAAATAGTAAGAGAAAGCATGAAAAGAATATTGCAAATCGTATTTCTCATCTTTTGTTAATGACAGCTGACACTATTCTAAAATCAAATGATTTATCATCTTTTTGCATTAAATTGCAATGGATATCATCTGCTTTGGGTTGGTTGCATGAACTCTCAAACAAAACTTACATTCTCAGACTTCAAAATAAAACTTAAGTTAATTTCTTAAATTCTTTCAAGATGTCACTGAAATAGTTGTGATATGTTTTTTTCTCTGTTATTTTTTCGTCTCCATCTATACTAATCATCGGATACATTTATGAATCGAAGAGAATGATAACATAAAAACATGGAACTTTTTTTAATGATACATGGAGCAGTTTCAACAATTTCTGATCCTTGATATTCTTCATTTCTAATTTCGATCTTCGATATTCTTAATATTCTTGTACAGCCCTAAAAATGTTTTGGTTTCATCCATTGATGAGTTAATCGAAAATGAAGGCAATTAACAGAAGGAAGCTTTAAAGTGTTGCAAAGAATCTGTTTTTGAAAACAAATCAATAGGTAAGAAAAACTGCTCACATATATATTATAAAGTAATTTTAATAATAATAATAATAATAATAATAATAATAATAATAATAATAATAATATCACTTTGAGTTTCATTGTTATTGCATTTAAAATCGAACCAGCCTTTGAAATCTTATCATATCTATTTTCATTCTTTTCTCTTTTAAATAATCTCAACTTCTTCGTTTTACGATTCTTTGAGAAAGTTTGCTTCATTTATTTATTCAAACGCTAAAATGTAATTTTAAATGATATCCATTAAATTATTTCATCGAACATTTGAACTTGAACTTTCTCTTTTCACTCTAAAAAGAAACGTATCATTTCCTTCTGATAATATTATACAAGCAGCGGTTGAATAAGAAATGATGTTATCCTGGTATTTCTTATCATCCATATCACTAAAACGGATGATACGAAATCTTTTTCTTCTGATTATTTCACTTTCAAAATTTTTAAAACAAAGTAATCGGGGAAAAAAATATGTTGTATTATTAAATTTTGCTTCGAATATTGAAATATCAAGCAGAATGAAATTAATAATTAATTATTTTGAATGGTTATTGCTAATTGCTGAATAAATAATTATTATCCGTCGAAAGAATGTAATGAAATTTTCGAAATAAGCAATCGTTACGAATTGATGCTTTACCATTTGTATAATTTCTATTAAACTTCATATAACCTTAGCTGATGATAATCATAATGAATGTTTCTCATAACGATAGTTGTAAAATTCACGAATTTATATTTAAATAGCTTTTATCCAATTTAATAAACATTAAAGTTTTAATTAAGCATTTTTAATTTTGTCACATTTTGTCACTTTCCATTTTAACGATAAAAAAATTTAATCGATTTTTGAATAGCAAAAAAGAAAAGATGCCGCGCTTCGATCAGTAACGAAATATTATATTTCAAAAAATTTTTTAGAATGCTATCAATTTTACTTCAAATGAATTTATGACTATAATTTATATGACAACAAAAAATGTGACAATAAAACGGAACACAGGAGTATAAAAATTAAAGGTAAATATGGCATAGAGAGAGAGAGAGAGAGAGAGAGAGGGAGGGAAAGAGTAACTTTTGAATCATTCTTTCATATCAGGTTATGGATACATTCATCATCAGCTGTAAACATTCATTTTTATAATTTTACTTCTTCCTTTTTTTTGGCAAATGATCAAACAATGAAAAAGTTATGTAATAATTAATTTTAATCCTAATAAGTAATAATTAAGATTTTGCAGCTATTTAAAATAATTTAAAAACACTTCTTCATCATTCAAAAATATCTTATTTGAAAGAAAATTTTCTCTCTCTACCTAAAATATTAGGCATTTATGATGTTTTCAATGAAGAGATAAGTGAAATATTTTTAGACAGCATATGATTGATACCCTTAAGTAAGGAGAATTTATGAAATTGAACCAGGTAAGTGTAGTTATTACAGATTATATATAATTGATCCTGCGATATACATATACATAATACATCTATGACATATAATTCGGAGAGTAGTTATACTTCCGTAATTTCATGTATAATTTTACCTATTTTACATTTATTATTATTCTTAAGGAAAAAAGAGAGAAATTGAGAGAGAGAGAGAGAGAGAGGGAGAAAAAGGTAGAGAAAAGAAGGGAAAGTTTGATTATTTAAATAGCATGTAATTTAGTCCAAAATAATATTTTGAGAAGCATTATGTAATCATAATGCATATTACTCGTACTTGTTATCATTTACCTACTATTGATAAGTTGATAACATTTCTTTTGTTTCATAATATTTTAGTTGTTTATCAATAGTAAACATATATTCCTGTTAATAATTATTGATTTGAGATTTAAAAAAATTGCGTAATTTAAGACGGAGAATTTTAATGATTGAATTAACGCTTTTATTTACTGTTGAAAAATTTTTGTTTAAGATTTTCTTTTGCAATGAATATAAATGAATTTCGTCATTACGGTGGACAGATGATTGATATAGTAGCGAGTTATTGGGAAACACTCCGAAAAAGATTTCCGTTACCGGATGTAAAACCTGGATTCATCAATGAACTGGTATAGAAATTGCAATATCATTAAGTCTATATAAATTCGTAATTCTGTATAGGAAAAAATATTTTAATAGAATTTATTTTGAATATCTTTTAGGAGATTTCATTATTTTCTTTAAATATAATCTATCACAATTTTAGTGAAATTTTATCAAAATTAATTTAAATAAAATTTATATTATTTAAGGTACCACGAGATCCTCCTGTTATGGGTGAGTCATGGGAGAAAATTTTCAGTGATATCGATGCAGTAGTTATTAATTGTAACACTCATTGGCAACATCCTAATTTTTTCGCCTATTTTCCAAGTGGTATTTCTTATCAGTCAATTATGGGTGATATTCTTAGCAGTGGATTAGCAAGCGTTGGATTTAGTTGGGTAAGTTAAAATTTTTGAAATTTTATAGTGAAGTATTTTTCATGGTCATACAAACATTAAAAAAATGATATAGTATAACTTATTGTAATTATTGTTTTATAGAAATAATTATTGATTGATAACTTGTTAATATAATGAAATTTCTAGCAATCATCACCTTCCATGACGGAACTTGAAATTTTGATGACAAATTGGTTAGCTAAAGCATTGGGATTACCGGTAGAATTTATGAATAGCAAAACTGGATGTGGTATAGGTATTATTCAAAGTACTGCCAGTGATGCAACTTATATAGCAATATTAGCAGCAAGAGGACGAGTTATAGAGGTATCATTGATTATTTACTGATAATCTCTTTTGATCGTAATATTTATACGCAACAGTTGTTATTACAAAAATGTCATGAAACTCTAATGTTTTTTTTTTTTAATCTAAAATCTTACAACAATGTCAAATATAATTGTTCAGCGTATCAAAGCATCTGAAGGTATCATCAACGAGGAATTGGAGGTAATTTCGGATGATTCCGGTGAATTATGCTACTATCCATATCATGATGCAACCATTACAACTAAATTAGTTGCTTACTGCTCGGATCAAGTGATTCTTTTTATTTGATCCATTAAGTGAAGATTATGAAGAAATGAAGAGAAGTTTTGATTTTGCAAAAATACTGCGAAAAGCAAGAAAAGATATGAAAGAAAAATAAACAAGAAAATAGAAAAAAGATTCAATAGAATTTTCAAATAAATAATATTTATTCATCTGATATAAAATTCCAAAATTTAAAAGATATAAAAGTTAGGCCTCATTTAAGGCTCATTCATCAGTAGAAAAAGGTGCCATGCTGGCAGGTACGCGTTTACGAAAACTCAGAACTGTACGTGGTGGATCTTTTGATAATTTTTCTGTTATTGCGAAAATTCTTGAAGAAGCAATAATGGTAAATTTAGAGAATTATAAAACGATGTATTCATTAAAGAATTGCTAATTATTATTATTTCCACTTACTACATCATTTTTTTTTTTACTTGAAAAGATGAATAAACAAATTTCAATGTTATATTTAGATAGATCGAAAGAATGGTTTAGTACCATTCATATTTATCATGACTTTGGGTACAACATCAACTTGTGGAGTGGATCCGGTAGATGAACTTGGATCAATATGTCAGAGAGAAAACATTTGGATACATGTTGATTCGGCATATGCTGGCAATTTGTTTAAATTAATTTCAAACAAACAAAAAAAAAAGAAAATTAAAACTAAAAATTTGAGGCAAAATATATGATTCATGATTTACTTTTTGATATCATTACTAACTTTTCTATTACAGTATACAACATGAATTACAATATAAAGTATCGAAACGTGGGATATACATTTTTGCAGGGGCATTTTTACTTTGTCCTGAATATCGTTACTTATCTCGTGGATTCGAATATATTGATTCATTCAATGTTAATGCTCACAAAGCATTACCGATAAATTTCGATTGTTCTCCAATGTGGTATTATATTTATTTTGTAGATTTCTTATTTTAATAATCATGATAAAGAATAATCATATGATTAAGATTGAGTGAAAAAAATTCGAATTTCAGGTTTCGAAATGGGAAACAAATAATGAAATACTTTGCGGTAAATCCGATCTATCTGAAACATGATCAGACTTGTGCAATTGATTATCGAGTAATTTCTCTTATTAATCTCATAGTTGCAATAACAAGAGATCTAGAAATTAAGAGGGTTATTTCCGATGTGATAGTCGGTGTATCTCTTTGCTTGTACTTTGAAAGTTCCTATCATAGAACTAAGGACTAAACTCTTATATTCCTTGCACTTTTTGACTGATACTATTGTTTGGAAAAGTCAGATTTAAGGCTCAATCTTATAATGTTCTTTAAGGTTTAACAGTATATTAATTGCGCCTAGAACAAGCCTCATACTTATACTATAAAGAGAAAGGGATAAAAGTCGGATATATTCCTCAGGGTGACATCATATATGGAGATTTCATCCTAAGGATTGATAACACTTTTAGCATTTCCAAATAGCTCTTGGAAGAAGATTTCGATCGTTGAAAATATGGTTCGTGTTGCGAAATTTTGGCATTACTGGCCTACAAAAGCACTTGAGAAAGGTCCCATTAAAAGACTTTTCTAATTCCTGTTTCCGCACAATTCATTCATTTCTTCGAATTTTAATTTTTTTCGGAAGTCAAGAGCTTTGTCAATAATATTCATCATTAATGACAGATGGTCGAGCTAGCAATGAGCTTTGAAGCGCTCCTCCAAAAGGATGGATTATTTGAGTTTTTCGTACCGCGAACATGGGGAATGATATGCTTCCGTCTAAAAGTTCGTTACGTTTCAGAACTTCAGTTGAATTTTAAAACAGAATTTATGTGATCATTTTGCGGCAAGCAATAAGAAGTTTTGATAGTAATTATATTCATAACATATGTAAAATATATTTGTTGCTGTTCATTGACAGGATTCGACAAATGAGATGAATGAGGAGCTAAGTCGAAGAATCAACGAGGATCGCCGTATCCATGTGCTAGCTTCCGTTGTTCATGGAGTTTATTTCCTGCGTCTGACAGTTTGCAGCACGTTAACTACATATGAGGATATACGTCAAGCGCATGCGATCATGCATAATTTTGCTGAAGATGTACGAAGAGATATGAAACAACAAATATCTGTTATAAAATAACTTCACTCCTAACTTCCCAGAACTGTAATCAAATTGTGGATTAAAGAGTCAATACAAGCATCAGATCAATAACGATTTATCAAATCAATAGCAAAAATCATTCTCCAAAATAAACAATCAAATCATCTTCTTCAGCAATGCATTTATCTGATCTTCACGATTACCGAAGTCGCCACCTTCAACGAAATGATTTGTTTTTTTCGTCCAACCACCCGTTGGGTTATTCAATTTGAAAGGCCATAGGAAGTTCGTAGCACGCTTGAAATAGGGACCCACATTGAAGATATGATGAACAAGGTCTTCCATACAAATTATATCACATTTTCCTGAAATATGCTGATACAGAATAGGCATGTTGACAGCTTCAAACATCCAGATTATTCTTTGTTTTTCGAATTTAAAGAGACAAAGGGTCAAAAAAACTGAATCATTTTTTCATGCTTTTTGAAACAATTTCAAAAAGAGTCACAGTTCAAAAAGTCACTTATCGAAATATTAAGAAGTTACTAATCAAAGCATATACATAACTCAAAAACATACCAAGCGCACTTTCGACAATAGAATTGTCCGTGATTGGTATACGACGGCCATTAATTTTTGCATAACCACGTTTATAAATTAGATCATGGACCGTTTTCATACTTGGATATCCCCACGCAACGTAGGGTTCCACAATACGCAACATTTGCAGTGTAGCTTTGTTCAATTTGATAAAAACGCCATTGTTTATTTGCCGCAAACGAAAGAGTTGTAGAACTTTACGCGGCCGTGGGTGCATCTGATTGATACCACGGATTCGGATTACAAATGCAAGACGTGCTTCATCAGGGACATAAAAATTGCCTGCTTTTCTGGCTTCACGCTTTAACTGAATTTCCTGTCGCACACGCTGTCTATGTTCTTTTACGTATTTTTCAGCGCGCTTGAAAATCTCAAGCCTCTTTTTCTTCGCCTTCTGGAAAAAAAATAATTGTGTTATTTAAATGTACTAATGTGCGAAGTAACACTAACGACAAACTTTTCCATCAATTTTTGAAAAGAACTGAAGGAAATCAACTATACATAATATTAGGCACATAAACAAAGATCGCATAATGCCATGAAGCAGTAACAAACCAAAGCAAGCTTCGCTTTCTTGACATTAGCTTTAGCTCTCTGCTCTGCACGCCGCTTTCTTCGTTTCAGCACCGTTTCTGGCACTGTAGGAAGCTTTTTTCTAAAACTTTCAAATTCAAATAACGTTATAAATTACGTTTAATTAAAACAGCACAATAATGACTAACGACAAAAGTAAATGCAAAGCAAATTAAAGGAATTATTCAGAAAAGGTTATGTTAGAAGCAGTTTCATTTCACCGCTAATGTTCAATTAATTTCGGAGTCCCCAATATAACAATAAACTAAATTCAATTATCAGTACATGATTTCTCCAGATTGATTGAAAAGGTTGTGAATGACAAATTTCAGTAGACACTGCTGTTCGCTTTTCTTAATCAGGGTGGTCATAAGGAATAATTCCACCATCTCCCTATCAGTTGAATTTTTTTTTTTCAATGAAACATTAAAAAAACAAGAGAAGGAAAAAGATACTAACTCTGTTGTTGTCAACTTTTCTTCCATGTTATTCTGAAATCACATGAAATTAATAAGCTTACGAAAACAGTATATGCTCAACTCTCAAACGCTTCCGCCTGACAAATGCTCCCACACTTATCGATAAATTGCTCCCTTCTAACTGCTCCCAAAAACCAAACAGCAACAATCGGCGAAAGTGCTCTAATGCAACGAATATGAAAATTATGTCTCCCACCGTTGGAGACTTTCATATTACTGTATCTATTAGTTCGAAGGAAGAAAAGGAAATGGAACAAAGCACAGAAAAGATTAAATGAATAAAAATTTCTTAGGCTAGTAATTAAAAGGTTATACAAAAAAGTTATACGCTAATAATTAATAATTAAAATGATGTACTGATAAGTTAAGCATTGATATAGGAATTCCTTTGTTCCTAATGAAGCAATCCTTTAAGCTCACAATTTTGTTTGATTGGCCATCGCATTTTGTGAGTTTGCTATAAACAAGCATATATTCATTTCATTTCCAAAGTCTTTTCATTGTACTTATGTAATCATTCAATGCTTCTCCTAGCTAATTATAATGATTTGATGTAATTATAACGACGAATATTGTGTATCGATATAAGATCTAGCCTCTTTCGTGGAAACTAGTCCCTTCCATGGAAATATGTCTAATCTTCAGCAAGTGAGGGAGTTATACATCCTTTTTCTCGTTTTTTTTCGACGAGAATTTTGGTCGTTTTGAAAGTGCGCTCGTACGAATGTCTACAGCAGTTAATGCCTGATGATCTGTCCGATCGATGACACTCGAGCAGAAGGGGAGATGTTGTAATGCTGGGTCAGGTCGGGGTTCCATCGGGAACAACGGTGTATGATGAAGCGTTTGGTGATGTGGAGCAAAATAATGGTGTCTTGCACTGCTTCCTTCCTTACAGATCAATTTGTATTTGATGGAAAAAATCCCGTGGCATAGGGAATGCTTTTTATTTTGGATTTCTCTCTTGCTACAGATCCTTTCATTGTTTCCTTGGCAAGTAAAATTAATGTGATGCGTATGATAGTATAGAACAGTAATACATGTATTTATTATTTCTTTTATTTAATTGTTTGGCAAATAAGATTTGTTCATTTATTCAATCAAATGTAACCGCGGGCTATTTAACAGGTCATGTTTGGTGGTATTATTCGTGCTAATCATACCAGTTTAAGTTATTTTACAAGTTAGCTATTAAGCATTAGACATTTTAGATAAATTTTCAGTGTCAAATTAATGTTAGCTTCTTTACTATTGTATTACTACAAAGACTTTTAGAATGAATAATTCTGTCTAAGATGTAGAAAGGTCATGCTTCTTCATTTTCTCTATCAAGAAAGGATTTGATGAACAATTGATCATACATTTTGTAGTTTTACCTTTTAATAAGATTAAAGTTCTCGAATGATTATACTCAGGAACTTTAATAAGGTTAAAGAGCTTTTTAATAAGATAGATCTCTTGTTTAAGGACATTTAGCAAACCTTAAAACATGGGAAGAATGAAGACATTGAAAATCTGCCTTACATTGCATAGATGCCTATTATTTGCACATAATAAGAGCATTATACATTCGGTTCAGAAGGTTGCACACTTCATTATTCTCTCATGTTTTAAGACCTTTATTGGAAACAAATATGTTTGTATCTGTTGTGCAGTGAAATTGATCACCAATTTTGTAGGTTTGGAGAAAAGTTGCTTAATATTAAAATGTTTCATAATTTCAACAATTGAATTTGTTTATTGTTTTAGCAGTTGCAGTGGTTATGGAAAGCATGGAATAGAGTCTTAATTATTTCAGAGTGGCATGTTTAAATTATAGTAAAGAAGAGCACAAGATCCACAATGTGCCATGTAATCCAACAATTAAAATAGCAAAAGAAGATAACAGTAAGAAATTTGTTGTTTGTGTGTAGTATTAGTACATAGTAGTAATAGTACCTCTATTAATATTACTAACAGTAAATGATTAAATGCATCTGCTTTACCGAAACACATCTTTTCTACAATTTTAATGAAATGCTACTTTACGCCAGCTGAATCATTATATTGTTCCGTTTTAAGTACTTTATGGGAAAAGGATGGATAAAAGGCATATCTTTCCGTTCGTAAAGTGTTTTGCTTTGCCACGTTTTTCAGAGTTTGAAGAAAGAGGTAGGAATATTATCATCTATTGGCCGAGTTCTGATGCTATAATTTCATCCACCGATTTGCGCGAATTTTTTTTTGCATTTTTTCAAGAAATGATAGCGCTGATTTCAAGAGGAATCAGTCATTGTTTTCATTGAGTTATATCATTACATTGGAGTCTTAAAAGAGTATTCCCCTCTTTATGGTCGGTGATTTTTAGAGAAATATATGAGAGGAAGGAAAAATTGATGAAGTATATTACCGATAATAACTGACAAAAATTGTATAAATTGCGAAGCATATTATGAAAAATTTTCAAATATTAATGAGTGTTTTTTTTCACTGATGCATTTTCGTCGTTTGCGTCATGTGATTGTTTTTTATTAATGCTTATTTATGTATTTTGCATATTTCCAGGATATCGATAGAAGTATGGGTTCACGTGATGATGAATATGACTATTTATTCAAAGGTACATGAATTTGTTTAGGAAAACCAAAATTGGCAAAATATAGATTTTGTTGAATAGATTTAACGTTGTATTGCGTCCTTGACCTCATCACATTATTCATCTTTCTGTAAGAATATTTTCAGAAACTTTTGTACTTTTTTTTGGAGAACATGAACTAGTTAAAAAATGGTAGTGCCAAAATTTTTATAGGAGCATTTTGTTCAAAATTCCTATTCCTCGAAGAATAAGCTCATTTTAAATTGCCACTCAAATTATGTGCTATGTTACTGGAAAAAAACTTCGTATTTCCTTGTTTCCCGTGTTTATTTTCTAATTTCTATTGTAGTTGTGTTGATCGGCGATTCTGGTGTTGGCAAATCTAATCTTCTGTCACGGTTTACCAGAAATGAATTTAATTTGGAGTCGAAGTCAACAATAGGTGTCGAATTTGCAACAAGGAGTATACAGGTTTGATTTGATACGGAGTGAAGTTTAATTCTCATTTTTAAGAAATGATATTGATTTATTAAGGACTTGTTATTTAGCATTGGTTGTTGACGTGTCTTTTTTTGGTGTAGCCCTGCAAAGTTTGTTTGATTAGCTGTGAATCTGGGGTAGCTTGTCGCCAATCTTGATATGTCATTATTAAGGTGAGAACTTGATCTTAATAAGCAGTAGTAATAAGACACTTGATTCACTTATGCACTCGGAAGTAAAAATCTCAAGTTTGTCAAAATTCGGCTGTTTCTTTGAAGTTTTACTTAAAGAGCTGCATTGTCTTACTGTAAAGTAGAACTGGAGATAATACG